AATTTAAAAAATTGAAAACTTAAAATATAGAAAAATTGAAAAATCGAAACATCAAAAAAACCAAAAATTGAAAAACCTAAAATTTAAAAATCAAAACAATGAGAATGAAAAAGTAAAAAATTGAGAAATCGAAAAATCGAAGGTGGAAAAATCGAAGAATTCAAATATTGATAAAATCCAAAAACTCAAAAACATCGAAAAATTATTAAGAAATCGAATAACTGAAAAATCGAGAAATCGAAAAATCAAAGTGGAAAAATTGAAAAATCAAAAACTAAACCATTCAAAAGTCGAGAAATCAAAAAACCTAAAATTTTAAAAATTGAAAATTTAAAATACCGAAAAATTGAAAAATCGAAACATCAAAAACTCCAAAAATTGAAAAATCCAAAATTTAAAAATCGAAGAATCGAAATATTGAAAAATTAAAGTCGAAAAATCAAAAAAAATTCAATTTAAAACAACGAAAAGTTGAAAAATCAAAAATTTTAAAATTCGAAAAATTGAAATATCGAAGAACTGAAAAATGAAAAATTGGGAAATCGAAAAATCTAAAATTAAAAATGAAAAACTAAACTATTGAAGAAAAAAAATTGAAAAATCGAAAAATAGAAAAATGAAAAATTCCAAAAATTGAAAAATCCAAAATTTAAAAATCGAAGAATCGAAATATTGAAAAATTGACGTCGAAAAATACAAAATTTTAAAAATCTAAAAATTGAAATATCGAAGAACTGAAAAATGAAAAATTGGGAAATCGAAAAATTTTAAATTAAAAAAAAAGTGAAAAACTAAAATATTGAAGAAAAAAACTCAAGATACCCAGAAATCAAAAAATCGAAAAATTCAAAAATCTAAAATTTAAAAACAGAAAAGTCGAAATATCGATAAACCGAAAATCCAAAATTAAAAAAATCGCAACAATCGAAAAATGCAAAATTGAAGAATCGAAAAACTGAAAAATCGGGAAATTAAAAATTTTTGAAACTGAAATGACGGAAAATTGAGAAATCGAAACATCGGAAAATCGAAAAACAAATCTAAACATCCAAAAATTCAAAAACTAAAATATCGAGGACACCAAAACATCAAAAGATGGAGAGAACGAAATGTGGAAAAATTGAGATATAGGCCAAAACCGAAAAATTTTAAAACCGAGAGTCAAAAAGTTTAAAAGTCCAAAATTAGAAAAAATGAAAAATCTAAAACCGCGAAGCCGAAAAATCGAGGAATAGAAAAATTAATCGCAAAATTGAAAAACTGATATCGAGACATCAAAAAATCAAAAAACTAGAGAATTAAAAAATCTAAAATTTAAAAATTTAATTGTCGAGAAACCGAAAAATTGAAAACCCAAAATTTAAAAAATCGCAAATATTGAAAAAAACGGAAAATTGAAAATTCCAAAAACTGAAAAATCGATAAATTGAAAATCCGAAACTGGAATGACGAAAAATTGGGAAATCGAAAAATTAAAAATTTGAAACATCGGAAAATCGAAAAATCGAAAAACCGAGAAATCGAAACATCCAAAAATTGAAAAATCGAAAAATTGAGATAACAGAAAAGTAAAAAATCCAAAAATTAAAATGTCCCAAGAATAAAAAATCCAGAAATTGGAAACATAAAACTTGAAAAATCGAGAAATTTAATACAGAAGTCGAAAAATGTTTAAAATTAATAACAGAGACGCCAAGAAATCGAAACGTCAAAAAAACGTAAAATCGAAATGTTGATACCTCGAAAAATTGGGAAATCGAATAACTGAAAATCGAGAAATCGAAAAATTGAAAAATCAAAGTGGAAAAATCGAAATATTGAAAAATCCCAAAACTGAAACATCGAAAAACTGAGAAATCGAATAACTGATAATTGATAAATCGAGAAATCGAAAAATCAAAGTCGAAAAATTGAAAAATGAAAAACCTGAAAATCTGAAAAATTGGAACATTGAAAAATCAAGAAATCGAGAAATAGGAAAAATCAAAAAATCGATTAATCCTGAAATTTAAAAACTGAAAAATTAAAATATCGAAACATTGACAAATTGAAAAATCGAAATATTAAAAAATCGAAAAAAATTGAAAAATATAAAATTTAAAAATCGAGAAATCAGAAAGTCCAAAAATTGAAAAATTGAAGAATCGAATATTGAAAAATCTCAAAAATGAAAAACCGAAAAATCGAGAAATCGAGAAGACGAAAAATCAAAGTGGAAAAATAAAAAAATTGAACATTCAAAACATTGGAAAGTCGAGAAACCGAGAAATGGGAAAATCAAAAAATCGATTAATCGAAAAATTTAAAAATCGAAAAATTGGAAGAGGACAAAATGAAAAATCGCAAAACTGAAACATCGAAAAATTGAAAAATCGAATAAATGAAAAATCGGGAAACCAAAAACATTGAAAATAATAATTGAAAAATTAAGAACTCCAAAAATAGAAAAACTTAAGAACTGAAAATCGGAAAAATCAAAACATCGAAAAGTGCAAAAATTTATAAACCGAAAAATCAAAGTCGAAAAATCAAAAACCTGAAAAATTGAAAAATTAAAAAACTGAAAAATCGAAACATTGAGAAGTCGAAATATTGAGAAATGGGAGAAAAAAAATCGATTAATCCAGAAATTCAAAAACTGGAAAATTAAAATTTCGAAAAATTGACAAATTGAAAAATCGAACATTAAAAAGTCGAAAGGTTGAAAAATTTAAGAACAGAATATCGAAAAATCTCAAAACCGAAACATCGAAAAATTGAGAAATCGAAAAACCGAAACATTGAAAAATTGAAAAATCGAGACATTTAAAAGTCGAAATATCGAGAAATGGGAGAATAAAAAAAAACGATTAATCCAGGAATTTAAAAACTGGAAAACTAAAAAGTCGAAACATTGAAAAATTTAAAAACAGAATATCGAAAAATCTCAAAACCGAAACATCGAAAAATTGAGAAATCGAAAAACTGAAAAATCGAGACATCGAAAAGACGAAATACAGAAAAATTGAAGAACTGAAAAACGGAAAAATCAAAACATTGAAAAGTTGAGAAATCGAGAAATGGAAAAATCAAAAAATCGATTAATCGAGATATTTAAAAATCTAAAAAATTAAGAGTTGAAATATTATGAAATCGAAGACTCGAAAATTTGAAGAATCGAAAAACTGAAAAATCTCAACACAATGGAATGAAGAATAAAAAAATTATGAAATATCGAAAAATTGACAAATCGAAAAACTGAAAAATCGACAAATCGAAAAGACAAAAAATCAAAAACTCGAAAAATTGAAAAACAGAAAAATCAAACACTGAAAATCAAGAAATAGATTAAATAAGAAAATCGTAAAACTGAAACATTGAAATTGTGAAACCGAAAAATGAATAAATCAAATAATCGAAAATTTGAAGAAACGAAAAATTAAAACATTTCAATACGGAAATATCGAAAATTGAACAAAAAAAAACTGAAAAATGCCAAAAAGGATGATTGAAAAATTGAGCTGAAAAATCGAAAATGCGAAAATTTGTTACTACAATAGATTTTTTTTCAAAAATCTCGATGTCTACAATAAAAATTCAAAACGGATTCATAAACCACGAGTTTATTCGACAAAATTTTAAGATGACATCCTGAGGGGCATGACGATTAAATTTTGATCACCGATTTACCATATTTCTGATAACCTCAAAACGTTTGCAAAATGTCAAAGCATTCGGTTTTGTAATATTAAAGTTAAATAGTTGTTTTACAATTTTGATTTTTGTTTTCAAAAATCGGGATGCTAACTCAACACGGATTCATAAACCACAAATGGAGGAGTCCGATTTTTATAAAATTTTAATAACATTTAGTATAAAATTTGGAAATGACGTCAATCCATTGTTGGTGGCGATGATTAACAAAATTTTGGTTAGCATTCAGTCGCCCAATGGACTCGATTACAATATCTACTCATACTTAGCTTTCGCTCGAAAAGTAAAAAAGTAAATTTCTGGATTGTAAAAAATACGTGTGTTTACCTTTTAACAGACAACCTTGACAACATCGATAATAAAACTTTACCTGATTATGTCTTGTATACAACAGTGCTAAGTGTATGTTCACAGACAATTGTGGTGTGGGTAGACTTTATATTTTGTATTAAAAAATATTGTTGAGGTTGTCAATTCGAAAAAAGTTATCTTGAATTTATGGAGGTAGTCAATGAAGCACATAATACACGTTATAAAAAATAACTGTTGTAAAAATGTCAGCTTTAATTAACCAACCAAATGATAATTAATTTTAAACTGTCAAATTAAGTACTTGAAGTACAACACCAAAACGATTTATTACGTTTCTGATTTAGGTATCTGGTATGAAGTTGAAACTGTCAACGTCGTTTTTTCGGATCATCCAGTTGTTAATTAGGCAAGAACGTGACATCACTAGCTGACACCTACATTTACAAAAATACAGTTATGCCAACCGAAAAAATATTACACCACGTTTCAAAGGCAGTAAATTTTTTAGGATTTTTATTAGAATAAATTTTTGCTGACATGACCTGAATAACAGTTGCCATGCAACGTAGCGACTATCCCACAAAACCCAAATCACCCAAAAAATGCATTTTTTCTCCCGACCCACCAATCCCGTGCAACTGTGAAGTTAGCCGACCAGCCGTCAATGTCAAGACCGGCCTCCTCGATTCCAAAAAAATTGCATAATAAGGCCGCCGTCGCGAAGACGCGAAAAATCGATAGTCGGCCGTGGCGCGCACTGCTGCCAACCTCGCGGCCCGAAAGTCACCCCAACCCCGAAAAACCGCCTCCGAAGGCCCAAAACCCCCGAAACACACCCATCTCCAGCCGCTGTTACGCCACCGGCACGTGCCAGCGCTCCTCGTCACCGTCCCCGCCTCCGTTACGTAACGAAACCCCGAAAAATCGTCGCCAAGTCCCCGTCGTATCGATCGCCGCCAAATCAGCGCGAAAAACCGAATCGAAAAACCCAATACCTGCATGTTATTTTCCACCAGGGTCTCGAACGAGCACATGGTGTAGACCAGGTACGCCCTGATGAGCTCCAGGTTGGTCTTGCTCTTGAACGCCGCCTTGGCATCCTCGAAGGTGATGTCCAGCGGGTCCTTGCGCTTGCCGGGGACGGCGGTGGCCTCCTGCACGACGGCGGCGGTGGACTTGAGGGCGGCGAGCCGCGTCACCACGTCGAGCCGCGGCTCCTGCAGGCGGCACAGCTGGTCGAAGAGGAGTCCGTACTTCCTGCGGGCACTGGCTCGGGACACCGAACGCAAAAAAGCCATCACAGAGTTATCCGAGTTTTTTCTGGGAGGAGCGGTGAGGTGGTAGCACTGCGCGGCACGGACACGAACTGGATGGCGACGAGAACTTGACTGAGGGTTTGATTTGCTGCGGCTCGGACGGAGGATTCGCACAGGCGCGCACGACCGGGATTTCGCGATTTATTGGGGCAATGGGACGCTTCCGGATGGGGATTGCGGGATTTTTTGACAGGTCATGGTGACTTTTTCCGAATTTGACAGGTGACGGAGGTGAGGATTGTTTCATGGGTTGCTCGGTTTTTTGGGGTTTGAGGACGATTAATGAATGAGGCGGCCAATCACAGGTGTGGCGCGAATGTCAAAAGGGTGACAGGTGATTTGAATTTTTTTTTGCTGTAAAGGTTAGAGAGGACTTTTTAGAGAAAAAAACATGGCGGTACAATCTGTACACTAATTTAGCAGAAATACACCTGTAGTTGGAAATTTGAATGACAGAATTTGCATCCTTTGAAATCCCTAATTTACCCACATTTAAACCACAAATGATTAACAAAATTCTCAAATTTGGCCTATTTAAAGAATACTACAAACCAAGATTGGTTAAAGGTTCGAGTTTGCCCATATAACAACCTTGAGTGGCCATATTAGCTGACGCAGAGATACAAGCTCTGACGTATGTTTATAAAATTAGGCGGGAAATTTGAATGTTTTTTTATATTTAATAGGTGTTAATCGGAACAAGTCAGGACAAGTCAGGTCAAGTCAGGTCCAGTCAGGTCAATTCAAGTCAAGTCAGGTCAGGTAAGGTCAGATTTATAAAGCAAGCATTTTATCTTTCTCCGACATACGAGGACTGTATGATAACTACCCGTGTTTGAGGACTGTGGGTACCACTGACCCAAAATTTGTATGCCATGGTCTAATGCCATCTTTCAAACGAGGCTTGTCAAAATTTCAGTCAAATTGGTCAAGTAGTTTTGTTACAGCACTTATTGAAACTTGACAATTTTGTGTTTTTTGCAAAAATGGAAAAAGAGCAGTATAGATCTGTGATTCGATTTCTTTTTTTGGATGGGAAAACGTGTGAAGAAATCAAAATCAAGTTGCAGGTAGTTTATAAGGACCAAGCACCTTCGATGACTACCATCAGATATTGGTTCAACGAATTCAAAAGTGGCAGAACATCGGTTTTGGATGAAGAGCGCCCAGGTCGTCCGATTAAAGTAACTACTGAGGAAATGGTCAACAAAATCCACGATATTGTCTTAGCAGACCATCGGGTGAAGATCAGAGAGATTGCTGAGATTGCAAACATCTCAACCGAACGTGTGCACAACATTCTTCGAGAAAAACTGGGCATGAGAAAGCTATCGGCACGATGGGTGCCGCGTTTGCTCACAGTGGAGCAAAAACAAAATTGCGTTACAACTTCGGAACATTGCTTCAACATGTTTAAGCACAATTCGAAGGAGTTTCGAAGGCGTTACGTGAGTGTTGATGAAACGTGGATACACCACTAACTCCAGAGACCAAAGAACAGTCAAAACAAGGGACTCTACCCGGCGAACGTGCTCCAAAGAAAGCGAAAACGGTTTCTTGGGCCGGAAAAGTTATGGATACTGTTTTTTGGGATTCGCATGGCATCATTTTCATAGACTATTTGTAAAATGGCAAAACAATCACGGGGCAGTATTATGCTAGCCTATTGAGCCGATTAGATGCTGAATTAAAGATAAAACGGCCCCATTTGTCGAAAAAAAAGTCGTGTTTCACCATGATAACGCACCGGCTCACACGTCTGCAATTGCCATGGCAAAACTGGTTGAATTACGCTATGAATGACTGCTGCATTTTCCCTATTCGCCAGATTTAGCACCCTGTGACTTTTATCTATCTCCAAATCTAAAAAAATGGCTTGAAGGAAGGCCCTTTACTTCAAACGGCGAAGTAATCAATGAAACAGAGGCTTATTTTGCAGAGTTTGAGAAATCATTTTTTTTGAATGGGTTAAAAAAGTTAGAATGTCGATGGTCGAGGTGTATAGAGTTGAAAGGAGACTGTTGAGAAATAAATATACAGAATTAAAAAAAAATGCTTTCTCTTTCTTAAAACGGGTACTTATCAAACAGTCCTCGTACAACTTAGATATTTATTTATAATTAGTATTATGAATCCAGTACTATTTTCTCTTGGTCGATTGAAATAAGCCTAAAAAATATTAAAATCATTTCAAAAATAAAACAAAAGAGATTTTTTTCAGTTTTTTTTTTTTTCAACATAGGAGTGTCCTTAAGATTGTTTCAACAACCAAGAATGCTCGAGATTCCTTCAAATTTTCTCAAAAACAAGAGAACAGGAGATTCCAGATTCTTTCAAATTTTTGTCAAAGGTAAGGCGTAAAGGGTCCTCTAAGTTCTTATAAAAACAAGACACCAGGAGTGCCCGTGATTCCTCCATATTCTTAAAAAATAAGCCTAAAGAGACATCTGAGATTATTTAAAATATTTTCAATAATAAGGCATAAGATACTTTGAGAGTATTTAAAAAATAATTAAGACCAGAGATCTTTGAGATTTTTCAATTTTTTTCCAAAATAAGACACGAATGGTCCTCAAGATCTTTCCAAAAAACAAGACAGGGATATTTGAGATTTTTTAAAATTTTCTCAACGAGTTCCCGGAATTCCTTCAAATTTTTCAAGAAGAAGGAGGATCCGAGATTCTTTCAAATTTTTTAAAAAATAAATAATACCAGGGGTTTTTGATTTTTTTTTCCATTTTTTTTTCCAAAATGATACACAAAGGGTCTTTCAGATCGTTTTGGATCTTCTCGATTTTTTCAAATTCTCTCAAAAGGAGTCCCCGAAATTCCTTCAAATTCTTTCAAAAAGACTTCAGGATTATTCGAGATTCTTTCAAATTCTTTAAAATATAAAATACTAGGGCCTGTGAGATTCTTCAAATTCTTTCAATTATAAAACACCAAAGATTCTCGAAGTTTTTCCAAATAACACAGGGGTCTTGGAGATTTTCTCACACTTGTTCCAAAATAAGGCAAAGGGTCCTTACGATGATTTTCAAGAGACAAGACACCAGCGATCTTCGAGATTTTTTCAAATTCCCTCAAAAGGAGAGAAATGGATCCGAGATTCTTCCAAATTCTTTAAAAAATAAAATACTTGAGGCCCTTGAGATTCTTTCAAACATAAAACACCAGAGACTCTCGAAATCCTTTCAAATGCTTTCAGAAATAAAATTCCAAAGATATCTACAGCTGGTTCAAAGTATATAAAAAATAAATAACATCAGGGGTCTTTGAGATGTTTCCAAATTTTTTCCAAAATTAGACACAAAAATCCTCAAGATCTTTTAAAAAAAAAACACCGGGGATCTTCAAGATTTTTTCAAATTCTCTCAGAAGAAGTCCCCGAAATTCCTTCAAATCTTTTCAAAAAGAAGACTCCAGAGGTATCCGTCAAATTCTTTCAAAAAGAACACTCCAGGGGTATCAGAGATTCCTTCAAATTCTTTCAAATATGTATAAAACACCAGAGACTACCGAAATTCTTTCAAATGCTTTCAAAAATAAAATTCCAGGGATATCTGCAGTTCTTTCAAAGTATTTAAAAAATAAATAACACCAGGTGTCTATGAGATGTTTCCCAATTTTTTTCAAAATTAGACATAAAAGATCCACAAGATCTTTTGAAAAAAATGAGACACCAGCGATCTTCGAGATTTTTTTCAAATTCTCTCAAAAAGGAGAGAGATGGATCCGAAATTCTTTCAAATTCTTTAAAGAATAAAATACTTGAGGCCGTTGAGGTTCTTTCAAATTCTTTCAAATATAAAACACCAGAGACTATCAAAATACTTTCAAATGATTTAAAAAAAAAAACTCCACGGTCCTTTCAAAGTCTTTAAAAAATAAATAACCCCAGGAGTCTTTGAGATTTTTCCAATTTTTTTTTTTTAATTAGACAAAAAGATCGTTTCAAAAAACAAAACATCAGGGATTTTCGAGATTTTTTCAAATTTTCTCAGAAAGAGTCTCCGAAATTCCTTCAAATTCTTTCAAACATAAAACACCAGAGACTGTCCAAATTCTTTCAAAAAAAAAACACCAGAAATCCCTACAGTTCTTTCAAAGTCTTCAAACAATAAATAAATCTAGGGGTCTTTGAGGTTGTTCTATTTTATTTTCTAAAAGAAGACACAAGGGATCTTCAAAATCGTTCCAAAAAACAATACTCCAGGGATCTTGGAGCTTTTTTTAAATTCTCTCAAAAGGACTCCCCGATATTCCTTCAAATTTTTTCAAAAAGACTTCAGGAGTATTCGAGATTCTTTCAAATTCTAAAAAAGAAAATACTAGGGTCCGTGAGATTCTACAAATTCTTTCTAATATAAAACACTAGAGACCCTCGAAGTTCTTTCAAATAACAGATTCCTTTGAGATTTTCTCAGACTTGTTCCAAAATAAGACAAAGATGATTTATTCAAGAGACAAGACACCAGCGATCATCAAGTTTTTTTCAAATTCTCTCAAAAGAAGTCCTCGAATTCCTTCAAATCAAAAAGAAGACTCCAGAGGGATGGATTCGAGATTCTTTCAAATTCTTTAAAAAATAAAATACTTGAGGCCCTTCCAAATCCTTCCAAATACTTTCAGAAATAAAATTCCAAAGATATCTACAGCTGTTTCAAAGTATATAAAAAATAATTAACATCAGGGAGAGATGTTTCCAAATTTTTTCCAAAATTAGACACAAAAATCCTCAAGATTTAAAAAAAAAACCATCGGGGATCTTCAAGGTTTTTTCAAATTCTCTCAAAAGAAGTCCCCGAAATTCCTTCAAATTTTTCAAAAAGAAGACTCCAGAGGTATCCGTCAAACTCTTTCAAAAAGAACACTCCAAGGGCATCAGAGATTCCTTCAAATTCTTTCAAATATAAAACACCAGAGACTCTCGAATTTTTTTCAAATGCTTTCACAAACAAAATTCCAGGGATATCTGCAGTTCTTTCAAAGTATTTAAAAAATAAATAACACCAAGTGTCTATGAGATGTTTCCCAATTTTTTACAAAATTAGACATAAAAGATCCACAAGATCTTTTGAAAAAACAAGACACCGGGGATCTTCGAAATTTTTTTCAAATTTTCTCAAAAGAAATTTCCGAAATTCCTTCAAATTCTTGCAAAAAGAAGACTCCAGAGGTATACGTCAAATTCTTTCA